GAGGAGGAGGAGGAGGAGGAGGAGGAGGAGGAGGAGGGGCGAGGGAGGATGGAGGAGGTAGGATGACCGAGGAGAGGGGAGGAAGAGAGAGGCTAGGAGAGAATGGCAGCAGCGCCCGGGAGGGCGAGCGGGAGGGCGAGCGGAGAGGGAGGCACCCGCCCGCGAGGAGCGGGAGAAGCAGGAGCGAGAGGCGGCCGCCTCCGTCAAGCGGCTCGGCCCCAGCCTGCCGGGCACGAGCCAGAAGCAGGCCGCCGCCGCTCCCCTCCGAGGGGGAAGCCCAGACGTCAGACGTGCTCGCGTCGCAGCATAACAAAATCACGACGGGATGTCTTCGGCCGCTCTCGGCCTTCGGGGGCCCTTCCCGGGTCTCGGGGCCGTCAACAGAAAAAAATCCGGGATGGAAAAAAAGGCCTCGGGGAATGGTTCGGGGTTTCCCGCTCTCTCGTGCTCTCCTCGCCTCTCGCGCGCTACAGTCTCGCCAGCTTCACGTCCCAGAAGCTCCCCTCGGCCCCCGGGCGGGCACCTTATGCAGGCGTTCGGCTCCACCTGCCGCCGCCTCAGATGTTCCGCGTTTGTTCGTGTCAATCAGGGCGTGTTTCCTCGATTTTGGCCTCCAGGGCCGGTTGTCTAGCCCCGGGACCATCAGAAGCGCGCCCGCTGGGCGAAAATTTACCTCCAGGGGGGTGGTTCGGGAGCTCTGGGGCCGCAGACTGCAGCAATCGTATCGGGGGGACGCCTTCGGCCACACTCGCCGACTGCTGCCGCCGACGGCCGCCGCTGCAGCCAAGACGCTGAGCTAAGGACCGCCTTCTTGGGCTCAGGAGGGGCCCTGGTCTGCGACCCGCTCCTCAGATCTGGGTCGGGGAACCCCTTCGTGGGCCGTGGCCAGGAAAGGTCCCTTCGTTCCGAAGTTCGCGTGTGCACCCCCGGGAGAGCAGCACGGCCGGCGTGCTGCCGTGCGGAGCTCCTGCGTGGCAGCACGGTGGCCGCGTGGCTGCCGCCGCCCGCGAGCCCCGGCGGCGCCGCCGGTGCGGGCGCCAGGGGCGAGGGCCAGCGTGGACGATCGGGCGGTCTGCAACGCAGGGGCACGGATCAGCCACGCACATAGGCTTGGCATCGCTCGGACGTGCGCGTTTTGTTTTCTCGGCGAGGACCATCGAGGGCCATCCGGGACCATCGAGCAACCACATACACGCACGGAACCGAACAAACGCACGGGAAATGGGCGTCCCAGCGACGGCAAGCAGGGTGGTATGGGGGAGGGGGAAGGCTTCTCAGAAGCACCCCTGGTTCTCAGGAGGCGCGGGCCTCATCTATGGATGCAAGGCCTGCGCCCTCCAAGGAGCAGCCTCCTTGCAGGAGGCCTGCCCCCTGTCCCCCATACCCCCCCGTGTGCTCGCCGCAGAGATCTACATCGGGGGATCGAGGACTTCAGGAAAGGAGCCCTAAAGGGGTCCTGGAGGGCGGCCCCTGGGGCCCCCCAAGGGGCCGTGTGGGCCCCCCAAACGCGTTCCTTTCGTTTGGGCCCCCCAAGCGCGTTCCTTTCTCCACCCTGCCTTTCTTATGCCGGCCTCCCTCCACATCCTCCGCCACCACGTCCTCCATATCCTCCGCATTCTACACGAACACATCCTCCACCTCCACAGGTCGCATTCTCAACTACCACATCGTCCGATCGTTGTTCGTGCCACTCCCGCCATCTCCGTCTCCTGGGGATATTTGATGTCTGGGTAGCTGCTGGTAGGCCAAGCAGAAAGCAGCACCCACGGGAATTCGCATCGGTATATAACCGGCAGAAATCGATCATGTTGCGCAAACCAGAGTGGACCATCACATGGTACCGCCTGACATATCGCCTGCGTTTGCTTGTCAGCACAATAGCGCCGACTATGATCTAAGGGGCCTCCAACTGGATTTTCACGGGGCACGCTACATCACACATCACAAATGCAGAGAGCGCCGCGAAAAGTGATAACAACGATCTTGAGCTCTGGGGGTGCGTAGCCGAAACCATTGACACGCCAAGCAGCACCAGTTTCAACGTGAGCATGCCGTCATCTGAGCACTGCCTTGGACCACCCACGCCGTCATGGGTGGTCTGGGTGGACGGCACTACGTGTACAGCCGACCGCTGACTTAGCAGAAGCAAAGATTTGGGTACACCCTAGTAGCGCAAGATGTAGCAAGTCGCTTACAGGGCCGCAGAAGGTGTTTTTTTGACGTGCGGACGCGAGCACGCGCGCAGCCACGGCGCTCGACCCCACCCAAAGGCTCAGTCTGGGACCTTTGGGAGCTGCGCAATGCGTTGCGCAGCCAGGCAAGCAAACGCCTCCGCGCTGCCTCCCGCGCAGGGCAATTCGCCAAGGAGCAGCGCCGCCTGGCACCGCGCCGGCAGACGCTCCCGCCAGCCCGGGCACGCGTTCCCCAGCAGGCCAGCTGCCGACGTCGCACTGCCGCTGGAGCGGAGGCAGAAGACGTGGCAGGGCCCGCGCGCGAGGGCGTGGGGCCACCAAGAAGAACGCCCGGCGAAAAACGCGGCCAGCATGCCGCCACTGCTGACGGGCGCAACAGCGCCGCTCCGGCGCGGGCAGGCCGGCGCTTGCGCCACCTGGCCAGCGGGGGCATCTGCCGCCAGGGCGGACGCCGCGCGGGCCCGGGCGCCGCGGCGAACCCTGCGCCAGTCGCGCTGGCGGCGGCGCGCGGCAGGCGGCGCCGCTGCGAGGGCGGCCTGCTGCGCGGCGGCCATAACGCGCTGCGCAGCCTCCAGCAGCTGCAGCTCCTGGCAGCGGGCGCGCACCACGTCTGGCGGCGGCGCCCTGCTGGCCGCTGCCGCGCCAGCATTGCCGTTGGCCGCCGCGTTGCCGAGGCGGTCCCGCTCGCTTAGCCCCAGGCGGTGCGCCTCCGCTGGCGTCTTGTGTGCTGGCACCCAGCGCGCCCGGAGCCGCCCGCTGCGCACGGCGTCCACCAGCGAGTGCCAGAGGTCTGCGTGCTCCCCATCCCGCGGGTCGGCACTAGCCGCGATCTTGGCGCACCCCCGCACCACGCACTGGCTTGGCTGTCCGAGGCAGGGTCGACCGGGCCGCCCACAACGCGAGCCGCCGCCACCGCAGCTGTCACCTCGGCCCTCTGCGCCGTCTGCAGCCCGTCGACCGGCCCGGCGAGGTTGGGGGCTGCCAGTCCCTCGACCCGGAGGCCCCGGGCCGCTCGGCGGGCCCTCGCGCCCAGCGGCCTCTGCGAGGGCAGGGAGGAGCGGCGGCATCGCCAGAGCCCCCCTTGTCAGGGCGACCCCCGCTGGCAGCAGCCCCCGCAGAGCCCAGGCGTCCCCAGGCAGCCCCCCCGACCGCGGCGAGGCAGCAGGCGCAGCACGGCGCGGGCCCTCCCACGCCGGGCGCAGCCAGAACCTGTGCTCGTGGTCCTCGGCGGCCAGCCCGCGGTGCGGGCACACGCCCAGCTGCACAGTCGGCACTGGATCACACGGCATCTGCACGACGAGCCCGGCACGGACCAGAAACAGCGGTGGACATGTGGTAACACACGCTTTCCCAACCACTGGCATCGATGTCGGGAACGCCAACCTATAATTGTGTGATGCCGTCTTGTTCACGTGAGCAGTTTCAGCTACTGGGTCATACGCCCATTGGCGACAACAGCGTATAGCTACAGAGGCGGTGCGTTCATTCGCTCGTTCTATCCGCCTCATCTTGCTTCTGCTCATGCTCTTGATCTTGCTGTTTTTGTTCAGTACACCTTCATCATGCCTCCTCCGTCTCGCCCCCTTTTCTGCAGATTCCTCTCAACATGGCCTGGGGGCGGGAGGAGACGGAGGGAGGAGAAAGAGGGGGCGTTGAGGAGGAGGAGGAGAAGGAGGAGGAGGAGGAGGAGGAAGAAGAAGAAGAGGAGGAGGAGGGGGGAGGAGGGGGAGGAGGAGGAGGAGCAGGAGGAGGAGGAGGAGGAGGAGGAGGAGGAGGAGGAGGAGCTGGAGGAGGAGGAGCTGGAGGAGGAGGTGGAGGGAGGAGGACGAGGCACTGGAGGGTGGAGGACGAGGAGGTGGGTGATGGAGAATGAGGAGGTGAAGGGAGGAGGAGGAGGAGGAGGAGGAGGAGGAGGAGGAGGAGGAGGAGGAGGAGGACGAGGAGTTGGAGGAGGAGGAGGAGGAGCCGCCTTTCCAAGAAGCAGCATCCTTCTAAGCAGCCTTCCCCCTATCCTCCCTGGTGAACGTTGTTCTATTCATTGTTTTGCCGATCGGCGCGGGCCCTCGCACCCCCCCTCCCCCCCACCCCGTGGAGTAGATCTTGGCTGTTTTGGGCGCCTGTCTCACGCAGGTGCAGTCTCCCCACGGGGCGCACGGTTGCGAACAGTCGCGCTAATTACGCAAAGGTCTGGAGCCAGCGCCCTCCCCCCCTCCCCCCCGTTCCGCCTGCCCCCTTTGTGCGCGCGGCCGCCGCCCTGCGCGGCCCGAGGTCGGCATGGTGCAGTACAGCTCCGACCTCCAGATCGGCCAGTCGCACTCCAGCGGGGCGGGCGCCGGCATATGAGCGGGCGCCCGCGGGCGCCCGGCCCGCCCGCCGAACGGGCGCCCCAGCGGCTCCCCCTTCTCCTCGTCCGTCTCCTCCTCCTCCCCCTCCTCGTCCTTCTCCTCTCCTCCTCCCCTCCTCCCCCTTCCTCCTCCTCCTCCTCCTCCTCCTCCACCTCCTCCTTCCTCCTTCCTCCTCCTCCTCGTCCTCGTCCTCCTCCTCCTCCTCCTCCTCCTCCTCCTCCTCCTCCTCTTCCTCCTCCTCCTCCTCACCCCCTCGAGTCATCATCATCAGAGTGGGGGGGCCGAGCGGTCATTCGTTGTCCCTGGCTGCGTGGCTAAAGTGAGAATCCGTGGTGAAGATTCTGCTTGCTGCGTTCCTGTTGTTGTTGTTGTTGTTGTTGTTGTTGTTGTTGTTGTTGTTGTTGTTGTTGTTGTTGTTGTTGTTGGTGGTGGTGTTGTTGTTGTTGCTGTTGTTGTTGTTGATGATGTTGTTGTTGATGTTGTTGCTGAACTCTCATTTCTGAAGAATAGCTGTTGTTGATCCCCCCTCACCGGTGCATACTGCTGCTTCTCAATCAAAGTGTGCCCCTCGACGCTCGCACCCTGTTTTTTGACAGGGAAAGTCTTGGTGTTCAAACTGTGTCCCTGGCCCCCCGGATTACAACAACAACAACGGCTCCCGCCTGGGATTCCTCCAAATTTACTCATGACCCCGGCTCCCGAGCCTTCCCCACAATTTACTCAGGATCGGTGCTCCCGCCTGTGACTTCCTCGCCGTTTAGTCCGGAAACCCGCTCCCGCTTGAGACTTCCTCGCAATTGAACCAAGACTTCCTTGCAATCTAATCAAGGCCCCCGCTTCCGCCGGAGAACCCTTCAATTTGTATTCAGGAATTGCGCTCTCGCCTGTGACTTCCATGCGATGCATTCAGAAATCGCGCTTTCGACGCTCAGGAAACACGCTGCGCCAAGGACGCCGTTACAATTTACTTAGTAATCGCGCTCTCGCCATACTCAGGCATCCCGCTTGAATGTCCCACTCGCCCGACCCGCCCGTCAGGTGATCGCCCGCCGGTCGTGGGCTCCCGCCCGAGACTTCCTTCAGGAACGGCGTTTTCGCCTAGGACTTCCTCGAACGTTCACGCTCTTACCTTCCTGCTCCTCCTCCCTCCTCCCTCCTCCCTCCTCTCCTCCCTTCTCTCTCCCTCCTCTCTTCCCTCATCCTTATGCCTCTCTGCCCTATCCCCTCTACCTCCTCTCCCTTCTCCCTTCTCCCTCCCCTCTTCTGCCTCCTCCCTCCCTCTCTCTTTCTCTCTTTTTTCCCCCCCCTCTCTCTATCTTTTTCTCTACCTCTCTTATGTGTCTTTCTCTCTCTCTCTCTCTCTGTTTTTTGGGTTTCTCTCTCTCTCTCTCTCTCTCTCTCTCTTTCTCTGCCTCTAATCAACCACCCCCCTCTTCGATCCTTCTCTCCTGGCGTTTTCCCCTTCCTCCCACTCTCCCTCGTTCTCCCCGTCCTCTCTTTTTGCAGGGCCCACACCGATTCCAATGGCGGCACATGTACGCCCACGGAGGATTGTCCGCCCGTTCAGGTTTGCCCGCTTGTCTAAGCCCGCCGCCCCCCGCAAAGAGAAAGAATCCTCCCAAAGGCGGTGCGATCGAAGACAAGAGGGGCGGGTATCGAGGGTGTGGGGAATTCGTTGTGAATGACACGCGGGCAAGTAAGAGCGGGCAGTCCTAAAATTATTGTTGTTGTTAGTGGTGGTGTTGGTGTTGTTGTTGTTGCTGTTGGTGTTGGTGTTGTTGTTGTTGGGTTGCTGTTGTTGGTGATGTTATTGTTGCTGCTGCTGTTGTTGTTGCTGTTGAACTCTCACTCCTGAAGAATGATTATTGTTGGTCCCCCTCACCGGCGCACATTAATTTGTTTCAATTGAAGTGCCCCCCCCCCGGGGCTCGCACATTATTTTTTGTGAAGGAAAGGCTTTTCTGCTCAAACCGGCCCCCTGGCCCCCGGGTTACAACGACAACGGCTCCCGCCTAAGACTTCCTCACACTGTAGCCAGGACCACCGCTCCCGCCCGAGACTTCCTCGCATTTTATTCAAGAATCGCCCTCTCGCTTGGGACTGCCTTGCGATTTTTGCAGGAATCGCTCCTCCTGCGCTCTGGAGTCGCGGCCTCGCTGGAGACTTGCTTGCAACTTACTGAAGAATAGCGCCCTTGCGTTGGAATTTCTTGCAATTTACTCCAGCGCCGCGCTCCCGAGACCCAGGCACCCAGGAGTCGCGCTCACGCTTAGGAGTCCTCCACAGATTACCTAGGAATCGGGATCTCGCTGCCCTTCGTGGCCCCGTTGCAGCCCTTCGTGGCCCCCTCGCTTTGTTTCGTGGCCCCGTTGCCGCCCTTCGTGGCCCCCTCGCTTTGTTTCGTGGCCCCGTTGCAACCCTTCGTGGCCTCCTCGTTGCCCTTCGTGGCTCCGTTGCAGCCCTTCGTGGCCCCCTCGCTTTGTTTCGTGGCCCCGTTGCAGCCCTTCGTGGCCCCCTCGCTGCCCTTCGTGGCTCCGTTGCAGCCTTTCGTGGCCCCCTCGCTGCCCTTCGTGGCCCCGTTGCAGCCCTTCGTGGCCCCGTTGCAGCCCTTCGTGGCCCCGCGCTTTGTTTCGTGGCCCCGTTGCAGCCCTTCGTGGCCCCCTCGCTGTGTTTCGTGGCCCCATATATGTATGCCCTTCGTGGCCCCCGCTCGGTCGCGCCCGTGGTGCCCCCATATGCGTGCCCTTCGTCGCCCCGCTGTCGACCTTCGTGGCCCCCTCGCTGCCCTTCGTGTCCCCGTTGCTGCCATCAGTGGCCCCGTCCGTACCTTCCGCGGCCCAACATACGTATGCCCTTCGTGGCCCCCGCTCGTTCGCGCCCGTTGTGGCCCCATGTGCATGCCCTTCGTGGCCCCGCTGTCGCCGTGTGCGGCCCCCTCATTGTCCTACGTGGCCCAGGTGCTACCCTCAGTGGCCTCATCGTTGTCTCCTGTGGCCCCGCATTATCTGCACTTCGTGGCCCACGCTCGTTCGCGCTCTTAGTGGCCCCATACGCATTCCCTTCGTGTCCCCGCTGTCGCCCTTCGTGTGCTACTTTGTGTCCTTCGTGGCTCTGCTGTCGTTCTCTCTCGCTCTCGCTTTCGCTCGTCGTCGCCGTCGCCGTCGTTGCCGTCGTCGTCGACGTCGTCGTGGTCGTGGTCGGTCCCCTGTCCGTCCCTCTTGGGGTCGGGTCGACGGTCCGCGGCCGCCCCGCCGATCAGCGCTGCCGCTGGCCAGGCCGACGGTCCGCGGCCGCCCCGCCGCTTGCCGGGGCCCGGCCTGCAGGGAAGAAAGGTATACCCCTCAAAAGGGGTTCGATCGAAGACGAAATGGGCGGGTATCGAGGGTTTGGGAAATTCGCGTTATTCGACACTCGAGAAGATAAGGGCGAACAGTCTTAAAATGATTGTTGTTGATGTTGTTTGTTTGTTTGTTTGTTGGTTTGTTTGTTTGTTTGTTTGTTTGTTTGTTTGCTTGCTTGCTTGCTTTGCTTTCGTCGTCTCACCCGTGACCCACCCGCGACCCACCCCGCGACCTACCCGCGGCCCACCCGCGATTCATCCGCGACCCACCCCGCGACCCACCCGCGACCCACCCGCGACCCACCCGCGACCCACCCGCGACCCAACCCGCGACCCACCCGCGAGCCACCATCGACCCACCCGCGACCCAACCCGTGACCAACCCACATTGTTTTAACAAGCAAATCGGCGCTTGCGGCGGGCTCGTTCTATAGCTTGAGCATTTCTGCACCTGTGGTGGGCTTCTTCAGAGCCGCGCGGACAGCCGATGTACCCGCCGCCCCTCACTGTTACCCGCAACTGCGGGGTGCTACGGTAATCTTTGGTTCGCTATTTCGCTCTGTGCGATCGACGGGGTGGCAGCCAGTAACGGTTACCATGCCTCAAGACTGTCGAAAAAACAACGCAGGATCAAAAAGCGTTCTCGAGGAATGGGTCAAGACCTCTGGAGGTCGACGTCATGAAGCAGCATCACGTCGGGGGTCCTGTTCGTCCTCCTCGTCGTCCTCGTCGTCTTCCTCCCTCCTCCCTCCTCCTCCTCCTCCTCCTCCTCCTCCTCCTCCTCCTCCTCCTCCTCCTCCTCCTCCTCCTCCTCACAAAAGAAAGCTGCGTGAACATGAACTTTCGACGATTCGTGCGGATTTCTTGGATGGGCGCTGTGTCGCTTTGGCGGCGCCTCCAGCGTCGCCCCTTGCGCGCTCCGCGCGCCAGGGAAGGGGTGCCAGGCGCAGTTCAAGTTTTCGCACTGAGTACCATTCTCCATTATTCCACTTTCTCATTAGAACCACCGGCGCGCTTTGGCTCCTCTTTGTTGCGCCCCACTGGCGCGGTCAGATATCCCCTTTACCGGGCACCCGCATCCACATGCGGATCGCCCTTTTAATCATTGTGTTTCCAGGTTACAGGGGCCAGTAGGTAGGGCGGGCTGGGCGTTTCGCCTGAGACTTCCTCACCAGCATGACCTTGGAGCTAGAAATTTCCAACAGTTTGAACGATGGAGGGCGGGTGGATTTCAACATGTGACTCTTGCTTTTCGTATTACAGCGCGCATTCGCTTCAAGAACCTGCAACAGCGTCAAGAATGGAGAGCGGGTCTGTTTCAACATGTGGCCACACACGGTTGTTTTTGAAAGTTTGAAGCAGCTTCAAGGGCGGATGGCGTATCTTGTTTCCAGATCCTGGCTGTAGCCTGAGCGCCGCGCACATTCGTTGTCCAAGTAATGTCATGACAGCTTTGAGGTTTCGTTGGGTTGAAGTCCCAGGGGTGGTCCTGGCACGATTTAGGATTGTGAGGACGCACCAGGCACGTTGTTTCGCGACTCTGCAGGCGCTGAAAAGGCGTTCTGGCACGATCTAGCGATGTCAGGACGAATGCGCAAAGGCTGATTCGCGGCGCTGATGTCCAGGGGTTTGTGTTTTGACACGATTGCAAGGTTTTTAGACGATAGTCTTTCAATCGGGCATCTTCCGCAATCAGAAATTCTTGCGCGTATGGACACATGAAGAGGGAACCACAAGAGAGTTCATTGCAACATCCTTGATGTGCGTTCTGGTCGATTCTGGCCGGCTTGCCTGCCTCGGGATGCTCTCCAGCAGAGAGCGCTCCAGGGGCGCCAGACTCGTCCCAAGCGGCCGCCAGAGGCCCGAGTGATGACCCGACAGCCAGACGACGAGGATCATCTGGGTCGGACGAGTGCCATTCCGCCCCCTCCTCCGCGCCTCCTCCCTCCCTCCTCCCCCTCCGTCCTCCCTCCTCCTCCCTCCGTCCTCCTCCTCCCTCCTCCGTCCTCCCTCCTCCTCCCTCCCCCTCCTTCCTCCCTCCTCCCTCCTCCTTCCTCCCTCCTCCCCCCTTCCTCCGTCCTCCGCGCCTCGTCCTCTCTTTCTCTCCTCGATGCTCCGATCCTGCTGTCGGCAGGCTCGCCGGCGACAGCTAATGCAGCGGTACTCTCTCAGCCGCTGGCCGTCGCCGAGGGCAGGGCCTCGCGCCACGCGAGCAGGAGCCACGGGCCCTGCCCCTCGCACTGCGGCTGGACGCCTCGGGCACGCGGGTCGGCCCGCCACCGCAGAGACAGAGGCACGAGGGGCGGGCGCGGCGCCTGCGACTCGCCACGGGCCGGGAGAGCCCAGATCCCCGCCGGGGCGGACGCGCGTCTGCAGGATATCCTGCAGAGCCAGGGCCGCAGTGGCCCGGGTGCGCGTGCACGGTCCGGCAGGATCCTGCGGAGCCCTGCAGCATCCTGCAGAGCCCGACTGGCCCAGGTGTGCATTGAGCCCGGCCGGGGAGTCCCCGAGGGTCGCTTGGGGCGGTTTGCCTTTTTTTCAACCGTTCGGTCGTGACCCGCCCAGGGAGTTCGAACGACGACACCCTTGGGATGAGACGTCAGAACGTATGATACATTTTGGACAAGTGGAGGAAAAAGACGGAGCAGGTGAGCTACGGGCCGATCCCAGACCTGAAAACGTAACACGACATCAGACTGTGGATGGTGCCCATGCGCTCGAGGTGCGCTCTGTGGGCCCTCTCCTCGAGCGTCAGGCCGCGGTGCCAGAGCTCGAGGGGGTCCTCAACGGTCACGCTGATTGCAGAATCGTTTGGTTAGTTGCCTCGATACGCCCGTTCTGAAACGCAGCGCGCCCCGTGTTCAAGACGTCCGTGTTCATACGCTGCGAGTTGTCTCCACGTATTGGACCACGCTTTGGCGAATGTATCGCGTCGGACCTACGTGTTCAGCCTACGTGCTGAGCTGCGTATCACTACGATACGTGCTGCGTGTTGCGTATCGGGGCAGCTAACAAGGGCGCCCTCGAGGGCGCGAAGTTATTCGCGCTTCGCGGTTCGGCTCCGATTCCTCCTCTTCCTCCTCTTCTCCCCTGGGAGGCGGCGCGAGAGCGCGAAGCTCGTCGCACTGCGCGCTTCGCGCAGCGCGAAGCGCGAAGCTGGGAGCCCTTGGCTAAGGTTGGTTCTTACCTGGCCGCAGGGATCGTCGACGGTGCTGGCGAGGTGCGCCTCGGCGGGCCGCCGCGGGCGCAGCGCGCGCGCGCGCACGGCGGCTTGCCGGGCGGCCTCGCCGGGTCTGCGGTATACATTCGGGCCGGGCGAAACGGGGGGATTGGGAAAGGGGGGGTTACGAAATTTGCTGCATGCAGCTGGTTTCGGCCTCACCGAGGGGCCCATTCCTCGATACATAGCCGCCTCCGGCGCCGGGAGGCGCCGGGAAAATCAGCTACGTGAGCTGATTCTCAAACCCCCCCTTTGCTATCCCCCCCTTTCGTCCGACCCGATACATGAGCCCGCAGCTCTGGGACCCTACCATTTCGGCACGAGCGAAATGGGTACGGAAAGAATGGGTACAATGCCCAACAGCCGTTCCTGTTCATTTTGAACCGGATGCGCTGTCCACGCCGCTGCGGCCTGTGTCCATTCGAGACAGAAGGCCGCCTGCCCAACAGCGGCCGCTGTTGGTTTGGGACAACATCTGTTGTTGGGTATTGTACCCATTTGTTCCGTACCCATTTCGGGCGTCCAAAACCATTAACCCGGGCCTGTCCTTCTCCAGGGGAGTTCTGGACGAAGAATAAAAAGTAGTCAGACAATACACCAAAGTGGTCAAACAATATTCAACTCAACGTCCCCAGACTACATCGCCGCTCCCAAAGTTCCTTGAACTGTTTGCGGTGGGCCCGATGCCATTGTGTGCTCGCCTACGTTGCACCCCTCTTGGCAACGGCCTCGACGGGGTTGAGGGGCAGGATGCGTTGAACCCCCCTCCCCCCTAGAAGCCTAGCAAGATAGCCCTCTTGCGTGGTCCCGGCGGGATCCTTGGCGAGTAGTTCCCCCGTTTAATTGTATAGTTTTACTCTAGCCTCAAAAAATAGGGTCCGGATAAATCCCGCGGTGGGACCCAATCCCGCCAATGTATGACGTGTTCGGGTCGACTTCATGTCATCTTGAAATCATCTCCAGGTCATCTTAAGATCATGGTGCTGTACTCTGGGAATCATGCTCCGGCCACCTCGGGGTCGCTCTGGGGCCACCGCGCCTGGTCTCCAGGGCATCGCTCACATCTTGGGCCATCTTGGCTTCGCCTCCAGGCCATTTCGACGCTGAGTCTGGATCCTGCAGGGGCCACGGGGTCTTCTTGGGGTCGCCCCGAGGTCATCTTCGTGCCCGCCTGAGGCCATCGTGGAACCATCTTGGGGCCATGGGGCCGCCCAGGCATAATGTCTGGGTCGTCTGGAGGTCTTCCGCGTTTCCATGGAAACTTTCGCTACGCCTAAGTTTTTTTTATTTTTGAGTCTTCCTCCTGTAAAGGGACAGGCCCGACTAAACCCTACCAGAGTGGTCGAGGACGGCCCTACTGCAGGTTCGGATCTGTCAGCCACGCGGAGAGGGGGGTGGGGGGAGGGGGGAGGGCTTCTTAGAAACACCCCTGCTTCTTAGAAGGCGCGGGCCTTATCTATAGATGTAAGGCCAGCCCCCTTCTAAGAAGACGCCTCCTTCTAAGAAGCCCCCCCCCCCCCCCACCTCCTTGTGCTCACCGCCAAAACTCCCCAAAGCGGCTGGAGGAGTTGAGGTTGGCAGCAGCGGCGCTGCAGACGGTGTCGCCGTAGTCCTCGATCTGGATGTCGAAGCTGCTGATGGCGCGGTCATGATCGTCCTCGGATCGGGGAAACGTAAGGCTCGATTAAGCCGGAGCTCTGGTTTGCCAATTATTTGTCGACGAGCGCGTCCTGGGTTTTGACGGTCCCGTTCTCGTGGGACGTCTGCAGCGGGAGCCCGCGTCAGATTTCAGATTGGGTCTCGTCATTTTTATGCTGGCCCCGTCCGGCCAACCCGAGTCCACCGTACCCGAGTCTTACGTCTCCCCGATTGGAGCCCGAGTCGTCGGTGTCGGCACCCAGGTTGGCCTCAGCCCAGGCGCCGGCGTCGACGGCCGAGTCGACGGGGCGCCTCTGGAGCCCGGCCTGGTCGGCGAGCGGCTGGTCCGGGTTCGCCTCGACGTTTGTGCGGGCGTAGGCGTTGACCTTTGGCCTCGGCAGCTGGACCGATGGAACGTAGGCCTCTTGATCTAGGCCTCCTACGTGGGGTCGGAGTAGGTGGGGTCGGAGGATCGCGCCACGTCGCCGATGCATCGGCGATGCGGCTCGATGTGGAGCCCGTGTTTCCCCACGGCGACGTCACCGATGCATCGCCGAGGTCGCCGATGCATCGCCGATGCATCGCCGATACATCGGCGATGCATTGGCGATGCGGCGCGATCCTTCGACCCCATCTACTCGGGCCCCATCTAGGAGGCCTCTACTGGATCATCCCAGCCTGGCTTGGCGAACTGCTGGTCGCTGGGGCGGTCCTGGAAATCCGCCTGGCTCGTCGTCGGCTTCCCTGGGCCCTGCCGCCTGGAGTCCTCCACAGAAGTCCCCCCTTCCTCCTCCCCATCCTCGGTGTTGGTGCCGACGTGGGCACTCACGTTGGCGTCGATGGCGCAGCGGTTGGTGTCGCCGTGGCCGCAGATCTGGATACCGCAGGTGATGATGTTGCGGCCATGGTTATCCATGGCAGCCCTGGCTGTGCTCCTCCTCTCGCTCCTGATTGCAGCGCACCGCGTGGTAACTCGTCGGGAAGACCGTAGTGCCGCAGGCGCACATGACGGGGTTTGCGTTGCGCTCCGCATTATCGTCGCCGTTGGACGCGCAATACTGGGATGCAAGCTCCGCCCGAATGGCGGTGGGGCCGTCATGGATTTCGGTGCGGACGGCATCGATGATGATGAGGATGTGGGCGGCACATGTGTATTGTTCTGAGCGTCTCTCTTTCTCGTTTCTCACTTTCTCCGTTTCTCTCTCGCTCTCTGTCTCTCTCTCTCTCTCTCTCTCTCTCTCCCCCCCCCTTGGCCAGTTCTATATCTCTCTCTCTCTCTCTTTCTCGCTCGTTCTATCCGTTCGCCGTTTTCCTTTCTCGCCTCTTGGACTCTCCCCATGCATGTCCTCCCACCACCCCAATTCCTTCACCGTTCCTTCTCTTCCCTCGGGCGTTGTTTGACATTTGTCGCGGCCTCCTCGGTTTCCCTTCTCCTCCCTCTCCTCCCCCGATCGGAGTCATCTCTCGCTGCTATTTGCGTTTCGGTGGTGGTTGTCGGTCCCCTTCCTCGTCCTCGTCTCCATCCATCGGCCCCTCTCCTCCTCCTCCTCCTCCTCCTCCTCCTCCTCCTCCTCCTCCTCCTCCTCCTCCTCCTCCTCCTCGTCCTCGTCCTCCTCCTCCTTGTGTTCCACCTGCTCCTCTTCCAGGAGATCAGCCCACCAGCAATAGGGAGCATATCCCTAGGTTTGGGCGCCCTGTCGATTATTTCGGGCCCCCTGAGTCCTAAACCTCCTCCGCCTCAGTTTCTTCTTACATATCCCTGACAGTACTTCCGCTGACGACCTGCCTCATTATCCAGCAGCTCCCTCATGGTCGTCTCATCCCTGGATGTGGGTGTAGGTATCTGCAAACCTAGAGCGTAGTGGGCAGTCTTCCTCGTTCTCCTCCTCCTCCTCCTCCTCCTCCTTGTCAACTTGCTCCTCTCGCTTCTTTCACGCCCGTCTGCTGCGGCGCGGCCACCTTCCCGACGGCTCCCGGCCAAGAGACAATGCGACACAAGGGCCGCAGCCCGCGCTGCTGGATCGACGGTCCTCACAGAAGCTGTCAACTTCGGCGAAGTGACTGCTTGCCAGCTTGCCAGAGGGAAAGGGCGCTGTGCCGTCGACCTACCAACACCGCAGGGGTGCATGGCGAGAGGAGGCATCCAGAGGAGGAGGAGGAGGAGGAGGAGGAGGAGGAGAAGGACGGGTGTAAACCCAAGAATCATCCCTCCCTCCAAGCTCCCTCTTCAAAGGCCCCCACAAGGGGATCCTTTCCACTGAGGGAACTGCCTCGTTGGAAGACAACCGTTTGAAGACCCTGAAGAATGCCAAAACATTATTCTCCGGACTCTAACGCCACGGATCAGCCTGACTGTTGCGTCTTGGTGATCCAGAGTCGCGCCAGAACGCCATTCTTGGGACTCCAGCACCGCGAATCAACGTAACTACCGCACCCTCATAGTCCAGAATCTTTCCAACACACCATGTTTGGTACGTTGATCATGGGAGTCCGGGAGAATCTTACAATTTTAAACAGAACGTGCGCGGAGCTAAGGCGAGAGCCACATTGTGAAAACGAACCGCCCTTAACCCGTGAAGTTCTTGCAAATGTTTAAAACGAAGGTGCGCGGCGCTGAGGCGAGAGCCGCATTTTGAAAACGGGTCGCCCTCAATCCGTGAAACAGGTGTCAATGTTCAAGCTCTACGGTCGTAAATGGTGAGGACGTCTCAGGCGAAACGCCAGGCCCGCCCTTTCGACCGGCCTCGGGGTGCGACGAGGAGAAGTTTTGTTAGAAGGGCAAGGGGGATGGAGACGGAGAAGGGAGAGCGAGCGAGAACACGAGCCACCTCGGCAACAGAACCAGCACCGGGGTCTGCAGACGAGTATAGGACACCTGCAGGACGGCACCTGCCATGTGATGCTTCGGACCCCTCTCCTGCCTTGCCCCACTACTCACCATCCACCAAACCACCCCAACCCAACCCGAAGGCTCAGATTTACCCTCGATTTCCAGTGGGGGGGGGTCGGGAAACATCGAAAAAACACAGGTGGAACCCTTACCCCCCCAACCCGAAATTCGGGTCTTCGGGTTGGGTTGGAGTGGTCGTCAACTACTGTCAACAACCTGTGCTCAGCGTGTCGTTCCGCCGCTCCTGGCCCAGCGCGCCTGGGCGCGACACCCTGGCCGCGTCTCGATGCCCAAGCGTCAACGTCCCGAGCGTTGCCAGGCCCCCCGCCCCGCGGAGCAGAGCGACACGCGATCCGCTTGCAAGGCATAGCGTGTCGCTTGGGCCGCTGCCGAGACACGCCAAGCGAAGGCTCCCGACCGTAGTTCTTCTGTCCGTGGTCGTCCTGACGCTGATCTTGCGGGCCGTGCCGTTCTCTCGGCACCACGGGGTGGCCGACCAGCGGCGGCAGTCGTCACGTGGCTCGCAGGTTCTCCAAGCAGTGATCTCCCTGACGTGTTTTCGCGTGGCTCGAAGGAAGTTCGAAGTGTTTGTTGCGATTTCTGGTTCTTGCGATTTCTGGCTGCCGCCCTGGTGCCCTAATCCAAGAACAATAATGCTGAGACCAAGAGGCTAAGTCTGAAAAAAAGCTGTAAGCGCTATAAGAGCGTTTCCAGGGCACACCTGCAAGTGCTCTTATAGCGCTTGCAGGTCTGCCCGAGAAACCATCTCACGCACATGCAGGATCAGATTTTGGTTAAGTTTGTTTTTCAGATCGCGTCACCGTTCCTGTATCTATATGTCGATTTCGCTTGATTGGGTTTGCTTTCGTTCTTCAGTTCTATCTCGCTCTCTGCCTCGTTCGCTTCCTCCATACACTGCATGGCACCATGTTGACGTGACAAGTATTGCTTTTGCGGGGAAACGTATCATCCGTGTGTGATGTCACACTGTCTGGCCCCCTGTATTTCTCCATGGCGGCGTGCAGAATACGAGTGACAACATGCCAGTTTTGCTCACGCGGTTGTCCGAGTGACGCGTTCCACATGGTGGTGGTGATGATGGTGATGGTGATGACGACGATGATGCTGATGATGGTGATACGTATGATGATGTTGATGATGCTGCTGATGATTATGATGACGCGGATGATGCTGACGCTGTTGTTGATGAGTGTGGGATTGCGGATGATCATCATTACCATAATCAACATTATGTTGTTGATGATGTTGCTGCTGATGATGATTATAATGGTAGTGATGATGATGATGCTGTTGCTGATGCTGATGATGGTGATGGTGCTGATGCTGATCGTGATGATGATGGTGACGACGATGGGAATTGTGAGAATGATGATGATGATGATGATGATGATGATGATGATGATGATGATGATGATGATGATGATGATGATGATGATGATGATGATGATGATGATGATGATGATGATAATGATGATGATGATGATGATGATGATGATGCTGATGCTGATGCTGATGCTGATGCTGATGATCATGATGATGCTGATGCTGATGATGATGATGATGATGATGATGATGATGATGATGATGATGATGGTGGTGATGCGAATGTTGATAATGCTGACGATGACGATGTTGTGGATGAGTATAATGACCCTTGTCATGCTGATCAGAGCGATGGTGGTGCTTATGGCAATGATGACGGTGAGGGAGTTGGGGGAGGAAGCTGGTCCTCCCGAGGAGGGTGGCGGGGGCCAGGTGGGGCTCTCAGCCCGCGCGCCCCAGCGCGCTGGTGCTGGCGCCTACCAGGGAGCTCGCGCAGCAGATCGCCGCCGAAGCGGAGAAGTGGGGCTTCGGGGGGGGCGCGCGGGCGCCTTCGAGGATCGAGGAGCACGGGGCGGAGGAGGAGGAGGAGGAGGAGGAGGACAAGGAGGAAGAAGGGCAGGAGGAGGAAGAGGAGGACAACTAGGAGAACGAGGAGGACGAGGAGGCGGAGGAGGTTGAGGACCAATGGTGGGGAGGGTGAGAACGAAGGAGCAGGAGAAGGGGGACCAATGAGGGTGAGGAGAAGTATGGGAACGGGAGAAGCTGAGTAACAAGGAGCAGGAGGAGGGCCAAGGATTAGGATGACAGGGGCTTGCTCCTTCGCTCTTGGGGCCTCTTCTGCCGTGCTCCTGATCTTTTTCTGCCGTGCGCGCCCAGAAGCTCCGCCAAAACGACCACCGCGACGATCCGCACGGCAGAATACAGGAGCACGGCAGAACACACAGAGCACACAGAGGCACGGCAGAACACAGAAGCACGGCAGAACAGGAGCACGGCAGAACACACAGGAGCACCGCAAAACACACCCCGCACGCACGCCGACACGCGCGCCACGGCATACCTGCGCGGCGTAACAACAACAGAGTATATTCCACATGCTTGGTGGACTAGAAGCGACGCTTCCCGTTCTTGTCCGGTCAGGTTTCCCAAGCAAGAAGGCCCCAAGAAGCACAAACCATCGATCCCCGTAAGTATTTGACGGATTTCCAATTTCTCGCATTTTTGTTTCCCGACGCTCCACGACGCCCCCAAAGGCCCTAATGCCCGCTCCAATACAGCCTAAGAGGCCTCGAAGACGGCCCCAAGACGGCCTCAGAGGGTCGAAAGACGGTGCCAGAGGCGCCTAAGACGGCCCCAGGACGGCCCCGAGAGAGGCCCCAAGAGAGGCCGAAGAAGGAGAACGCGAACCCAACAGCAGAGCCTTCCGCCAAAAGAGTAACACAGGAGGCCCCAAGAGGCCCCCAAGAGGCCCCAAGAGGCCCCCAAGAGGCTCCCCAGAGGGCCCAAGAGGCTTCCAAGAAGCCTCCCACGAAGGCCCCAGGAGGTAAGAATCATTGCTTTCCGGTCGGTTTTGATGGGTTTTCGAGTTTTCAGTCTTTTGGCATTCCGACGCTCCAAGATGGCCCAGGAGGCACCCGAGACCTGTCCCAGATAGCCCAAGAGGCTTCCAAGAGAGGGCCCCAAGACGGCCCTCGAGGGCCCCAGACGTTGCCCGAGGCGCCCAAGACGGCTCGAAGGGGCCCAAGACGGCCCCGAGAGAGGCCCCAAGAGAGGCCCAAGAAGGGGAACGCCAACCTCCGTAGCCATTTTGGCTCAAGCCGCTCCCTCTACAGGTTCCCCTCGCGAGCGCCAGTAATTCCTCCGACTGCCCTACTAGGCGCGATGCCAGGGATGCAGGCCTTCTCCATCTTCAGCTGCCTGTTCCGGAGCTCGGAGACCTCTCGGAATGGCAAGCAGAACTCCACCAGGTCGCCGATCAAGCAGGTGGTCTTGCTTCTGCCGGATGCCCCTGGCGTCGGCGGTTGCAGTGACAACTCAGAGCTTACCGACATCTTCAAGCCGACCGTCATCGTCACCCTGTGACATGGCGTGGTGGTCTTCCTCCTCCTCCTCCTCCTCCTCTTCCTGCGTCCCTTCCTCCTCCTCCTCCTCCTCCTCCTCCTCCTCATCCTCCTCCTCCTCCTCCTCCTCCTCCTCCCAGACGGAGCGGGGGAACCGACGCTTCAGCAGGGTGGGGCGGGGCACATGGAGACCGTGCTGGCCTGCAGTTTTCATCGCGCGTTGCTGCTACCAGTACGCACGGCGTGTGTGGGCGTCTGCACCGCTGTCGACACAAGCAGCACGTGGCCTCGATCTGAACCAAAGGCCTGTACCGCCTCGGCGTGGTGGTGGCGACCCCGGCGCAGCGGTGGCGAACGGGCAACGCGTCCGTAGCCTAAGCTGACCACGGTTTCACAGCTGCGACGGACGCCCAGATTGCTGTCAATCAATACAGATCGCGGGCCTGACTTTTCCAGCGTGTCGTGCTTTTTCCTCGAGGTGCGGGGAGGAAGGAGAGGGGGGGGGAGGAGAAGTATGCTCCCGAAGGGAAGGAAAGGGGGGCGGAAGGGGAAGCGCTCTAAACCATCCGCGGCCTTAAAGAAGGGCTGGTGGAATTAGGGCGGCTGTGCTCAGCCTCCACCCGTCGGAGCCAGAAGCACCGCCTCTTGGATTCGAGCTCGGGTTCCCGTTCTGTTGGCCAATGACAGACGTGTTGCCCAGTGCCTCTCCTTGAATGCGAGCACGGTTCTCGCATCATTGTTGTACCGTGTCCAAGGGGCCGACTCGGATTCTCGCGCTCTGCAGGGAACACGTTTTCTCCCATTATGTTTGTTTTTTTGTTCACTCTCTCTCTCTCCCTCCTCTCCACCTCCTTCTCCTCTTAATCTCCTTTTCTTCCTCTTGTTCTGCAAAGCGCTTGAAGACTGCCCACATGCAGGAACCAGGGCGCGCTCACAATGGAGTACAGTTAGTTATGGTTATATAGGATTTCGAAGAACCATGCTCTCTTTCCCTTGACCATGTGTTCTCCGCCGCGTTGGTTGCGCTGTGCGCTGCGGCAGTTGACCCAGCCCACAGGTATCCCGCATGATGGGGAACACAATGTTCAGGCGATCGTCTGTACACGTGATCGTATATTCCAGCTGTCGCTCAGTTTTTTCCTCCGCGCTGGTTGCGCTGTGCGCTGCGGCAGTTGATCCAGCTCACAGGTATCCCGCATGATGGGAAACACCATGTTCAGGCGCTCGCAATCGGCACGATGATCGCAAGTGCTGGCCTTCGAATGTATGTGCCTACGTTGCATTGCCTGTCGCCGGCTGGCCAGAGGCCATTTGATGCAACTGTTAATTCTTGAATCCAAGCTCCGGTTCCCGATCTGTCGGCCAATGACAGACGTGCGTCCGAGGGCCTCTTTTTGAATACGAGCACGGTTCTCGTTATTGTTATACCGTGTCCAAGAGGCCGACGTGCCTCTGCAGGAAACAAAACAAAACCAAAAAAGAAGGGGAGCGCGAACCCAACAGCGGAGCCTTCCGCCCCAAGAGGCCCAGGAGAGGCTCACAGGAGGCCCCAAGAGGCCTCTAAGAGGTCCGAAGGGGCCCCACAAAGCACCCCAAGAGGCCCCAAAGGCCCCCAGGAAACGTACACGAGGCCCCGAGATTGCCCAACAGTGCCCTCGACGCAGGCCCCCGAGAGGCTTCAAGACTGCCTCAAGAGGCCCCCAAGAGGCCCCAAGAGGCCCCCAAGAGGCTCCCCAGAGGGCCCAAGAGGCTTCCAAGAAGCCTCCCACGAAGGCCCCAAGAGGTAAGAATCATTGCTTTCCGGTCGGTTTTGACGGGCTTTCGAGTTTTCAGTCTTTTGGCACTCCGACGTTCCAAGATGGCCCAGGAGGCACCCGAGACTGGTCCCAGATAGCCCAAGAGGTTTCCAAGAGAGGGCCCCAAGACGGCCCTCGAGGGCCCCAGACGTTGCCCGAGGCGCCCAAGACGGCTCGAAGGGGCCCAAGACGGCCCCGAGAGAGGCCCCAAGAGAGGCCCAAGAAGGGGAACGCGAACCTCCGTAGCCATTTTGGCTCAAGCCGCTCCCTCTACAGGTTCCCCTCGCGAGCGCCAGTAATTCCTCCGATTGCCCTACTAGGCGCGATGCCAGGGATGCAGGCCTTCTCCATCTTCAGCTGCCTGTTCCGGAGCTCGGAGACCTCTCGGAATGGCAAGCAGAACTCCACCAGGTCGCCGATCAAGCAGGTGGTCTTGCTTCTGCCGGATGCCCCTGGCGTCGGCGGTTGCAGTGACAACTCAGAGCTTACCGACATCTTCAAGCCGACCGTCATCGTCACCCTGTGACATGGCGTGGTGGTCTTCCTCCTCCTCCTCCTCCTCTTCCTGCGTCCCTTCCTCCTCCTCCTCCTCCTCCTCCTCCTCCTCCTCCTCCTCCTCCTCCTCCTCCTCTTCCCAGACGGAGCGGGGGAACCGACGCTTCAGCAGGGTGGGGCAGGGCACATGGAGACCGTGCTGGCCTGCAGTTTTCATCGCGCGTTGCTGCTACCAGTACGCACGGCGTGTGTGGGCGTCTGCACCGCTGTCGACACAAGCAGCACGTGGCCTCGATCTGAACCAAAGGCCTGTACCGCCTCGGCGTGGTGGCGGCGACCCCGGCGCAGCGGTGGCGAACGGGCAACGCGTCCGTAGCCTTAGCTGACCACGGTTTCACAGCTGCGACGGACGCCCAGATTGCTGTCGATACAGATCGCGGGCCTGACTTTTCCAGCGTGTCGTGCTTTTTCCTCGAGGTGCGGGGAGGAAGGAGAGGGGGGGGGAGGAGAAGTATGATCCCGAAGGGAAGGAAAGGGGGGCGGAAGGGGAAGCGCTCTAAACCATCCGCGGCCTTAAAGAAGGGCTGGTGGAATTAGGGCGGCTGTGCTCAGCCTCCACCCGTCGGAGCCAGAAGCACCGCCATTCGAGAGACAGACGTGTTGCCGAGTGCCAATGAGCACGGTTCCGCAATTGCGAGTGTCTGCACTCTCTCACGAAAGCGCCTCCCACATGCAGGCTCACAGAGTACAGTGACAGTTTCTCCGCCGCGTCGCTGTTGGTTGACCCAGCCCACAGGTTTCCCGCATGATGGGGAAGACAATGTTCAGGCGATCGTCTCTACACGTGATCGTATATTCCAGCTGTCGCTCTGTTTTTCCCTCCGCGTTGGTTGCGCTGTGCGCTGCGGCAGTTGATCCAGCTCACAGGTATCCCGCATGATGGGAAACACCATGTTCAGGCGCTCGCAATCGGCACGATGATCGCAAGTGCTGGCCTTCGAATGTATGTGCCTACGTTGCATTGCCTGTCGCCGGCTGGACAGAGGCCATTTGATGCAACTGTTAATTCTGGAATCCAAGCTCCAGTTCCCGATCTGTCGGCCAATGACAGACGTGCGTCCGAGGGCCTCTTTTTGAATACGAGCACGGTTCTCGTTATTGTTATACCGTGTCCAAGAGGCCGACGTGGATTCTCTGCCTCTGCAGGAAAAAAAAACAAAACCAAAAAAGAAGGGGAGCGCGAACCCAACAGCGGAGCCTCCCGCCCCAAGTGGCCCAGGAGAGGCTCACAGGAGGCCCCAAGAGGCCTCTAAGAGGTCCGAAGGGGCCCCACAAAGCACCCCAAGAGGCCCCAAAGGCTCCCAGGAAACGTACACGAGGCCCCGAGATTGCCCAACAGTGCCCTCGACGCAGGCCCCCGAGAGGCTTCCAGACTGCCTCAAGAGGCCCCCAAGAGGCCCCAAGAGGCCCCCAAGAGGCTCCCCAGAGGGCCCAAGAGGCTTCCAAGAAGCCTCCCACGAAGGCCCCAAGAGGTAAGAATCATTGCTTTCCGGTCGGTTTTGACGGGCTTTCGAGTTTTCAGTCTTTTGGCACTCCGACGTTCCAAGATGGCCCAGGAGGCACCCGAGACTGGTCCCAGATAGCCCAAGAGGTTTCCAAGAGAGGGCCCCAAGACGGCCCTCGAGGGCCCCAGACGTTGCCCGAGGCGCCCAAGACGGCTCGAAGGGGCCCTCCGTAGCCATTTTGGCTCAAGCCGCTCCCTCTACAGGTTCCCCTCGCGAGCGCCAGTAATTCCTCCGACTGCCCTACTAGGCGCGATGCCAGGGATGCAGGCCTTCTCCATCTTCAGCTGCCTGTTCCGGAGCTCGGAGACCTCTCGGAATGGCAAGCAGAACTCCACCAGGTCGCCGATCAAGCAGGTGGTCTTGCTTCTGCCGGATGCCCCTGGCGTCGGCGGTTGCAGTGACAACTCAGAGCTTACCGACATCTTCAAGCCGACCGTCATCGTCACCCTGTGACATGGCGTGGTGGTCTTCCTCCTCCTCCTCCTCCTCCTCTTCCTGCGTCCCTTCCTCCTCCTCCTCCTCCTCCTCCTCCTCCTCATCCTCCTCCTCCTCCTCCTCCTCCTCCTCCCAGACGGAGCGGGGGAACCGACGCTTCAGCAAGGTGGGGCGGGGCACATGGAGACCGTGCTGGCCTGCAGTTTTCATCGCGCGTTGCTGCTACCAGTACGCACGGCGTGTGTGGGCGTCTGCACCGCTGTCGACACAAGCAGCACGTGGCCTCGATCTGAACCAAAGGCCTGTACCGCCTCGGCGTGGTGGTGGCGACCCCGGCGCAGCGGTGGCGAACGGGCAACGCGTCCGTAGCCTAAGCTGACCACGGTTTCAAAGCTGCGACGGACGCCCAGATTGCTGTCGATACAGATCGCGGGCCTGACTTTTCCAGCGTGTCGTGCTTTTTCCTCGAGGTGCGGGGAGGGAGGAGAGGGGGGGGGAGGAGAAGTATGATCCCGAAGGGGAGGAAAGGGGGGCGGAAGGGGAAGCGCTCTAAACCATCCGCGGCCTTAAAGAAGGGCTGGTGGAATTAGGGCGGCTGTGCTCAGCCTCCACCCGTCGGAGCCAGAAGCATCGCCTCTTGGATTCGAGCTCGGGTTCCCGTTCTGTTGGCCAATGACAGACGTGTTGCCGAGTGCCTCTCCTTGAATGCGAGCACGGTTCTCGCATCATTGTTGTACCGTGTCCAAGGGGCCGACTCGGATTCTCGCGCTCTGCAGGGAACACGTTTTCTCCCATTATGTTTGTTTTGTTCTCTCTCTCTCTCTCTCTCTCCCTCCTCTCCACCTCCTTCTCCTCTTAATCTCCTTTGCTTCCTCTCGTTCTGCAAAGCGCTTGAAGACTGCCCACGTGCAGGAACCAGAGCGCTCACAATGGAGTACAGTTAGTTATGGTTATATAGGATTTCGAAGAACCATGCTCTCTTTCCCTTGACCACGTGTTCTCTGCCGCGTTGGTTGCGCTGTGCGCTGCGGCAGTTGACCCAGCCCACAGGTATCCCGCATGATGGGGAACACAATGTTCAGGCGATCGTCTCTACACGTGATCGTATATTCCAGCTGTCGGCCCTGTTTTTCCCTCCGCGTTGGTTGCGCTGTGCGCTGCGGCAGTTGATCCAGCTCACAGGTATCCCGCATGATGGGAAACACCATGTTCAGGCGCTCGCAATCGGAACGATGATCGCAAGTGCTGGCCTTCGAATGTATGTGCCTACGTTGCATTGCCTGTCGCCGGCTGGCCAGAGGCCATTTGATGCAACTGTTGATTCTTGAATCCAAGCTCCGGTTCCCGACCTGTCGGCCAATGACAGACGCGCGTCCGAGGGCCTCTTTTTGAATACGAGCACGGTTCTCGTTATTGATATACCGTGTCCAAGAGGCCGACGTGGATTCTCTGCCTCTGCAGGAAAACAAAACAAAAACAAAACAGAAGGGGAACGCGAACCCAACAGCGGAGCCTTCCGCCCCTAAGAGGCCCAGGAGAGGCTCACAGGAGGCCCCAAGAGGCCTCTAAGAGGTCCGAAGGGGCCCCACACAGCATCCCAAGAGGCCCCCAAGGCCCCCAGGATACGCACACGAGGCCCCGAGATTGCCCAACAGGGCCCTCGACGCAGGCCCCCGAGAGGCTTCCAGACTGCCTCAAGAGGCCCCACTACGGAGACGGGGCCCTGGACCAGGGAGGGCCCTTCACTTGCCGAGTGGCTGCAGTCGTCCCCCCCGGAAGGCACCAGGATTCTCCCCGGACCGCCCACGCTGGCTCGAGGGCGCCCAAGAGGGCGGCCCGAGAGGGGTCCGAGGCGCCCCTCGGAGGCTTCCAGGCGGCTTCAGATGGCACCAAGCCGGCCCCAAGGGGCTTCCACGACGCCTCCAGGGGGCCCCAAGATAGCACAAGGCAGCGCTCAATGGAACAATCTTGAACAAGCATTCCTACGCCACACACAGCACTGACCGCAAGTCTCACATCTGCAACTGAGGGCTCCGGCCCGCCCGCGCCGGCCTTTCAGGCCCCGCCCCCTGGCGGACTCAGGCGCGCCTCGCCTCGCCTCGCCTCCAGAGGGCCCCAGTGAGCCCCCAAGACGCCACCAGAAGGCATCTTTTGGTTCCAGAGGTCTTTCCTACGATTTTCGCTCTCTCTCGCTCCCCTGGCTGTCTCTGTGCGTCCTCGTGGCCCACGGCCTCACTTCCTAAGTGAATCCTCGATTCCCCAGCACCTACTTCCACCGTCATGGTGTCACCGCGAATCCGATGATTGCGCTTGGCTAGTACCCTGGCGCGCGCGAAGCGCGCGTGGTTCTTGCGACTTGTTTGATTATATATTTACTCATGTATTAACTTGAATATATATATATATATATATATGTGTATATCTACATATATACTTATATATATGTATATACATGTGTACACACATATACATCTACATACGTATACACATAGTGTACACGTATGTATATAGCAAGTGCATGACACATCGATGCGTTTCGGGCACCCCTCGCCGACTCCGATGTTGGACCCAAGTGCTCCCCAGGCTGCCCCACGCGCAAACGCTCCCACGCACGCCGACACGCGCGCCACGGCATACCTGCGCGGCGTAACAACAACAGAGCATATTCCACATGCTTGGTGGACTAAAGCGACGCTTCCCGTTCTTGTCCGGTCAGGTTTCCCAAGAAGGCCCCAAGAAGCACAAACCATCGATCCCTGTAAGTATTTGACAGATTTCCGATTTCTCGCTTTTTTGTTTCCCGACGCTCCACGACGCCCCAAGAGGCCCCAATGCCCGCTCCAATACGGCCCCAAGACGGCCTCAGAGGGTCGCAAGACGGTGCCAGAGGCGCCTAAGACGGCCCCAAGACGGCCCCGAGAGAGGCCCCAAGAGAGGCCCAAGAAGGAGAACGCGAACCCAACAGCAGAGCCTTCCGCCAAAAGAGTAACACAGGAGGCCCCAAGAGGCCCCCAAGAGGCCCCCCAGAGGGCCCAAGAGGCTTCCAAGAAGCCTCCCACGAAGGCCCCAGGAGGTAAGAATCATTGCTTCCCGGTCGGTTTTGACGGGCTTTCGAGTTTTCAGCCTTTTGGCACTCCGACGCTCCAAGATGGCCCAGGAGGCACCCGAGACCGGTCCCAGATAGCCCAAGAGGCTTCCAAGAGAGGGCCCCAAGACGGCCCTCGAGGGCCCCAGACGTTGCCCGAGGCGCCCAAGACGGCTCGAAGGGGCCCAAGACGGCCCCGAGAGAGGCCCCAAGAGAGGCCCAAGAAGGGGAACGCCAACCTCCGTAGCCATTTTGGCTCAAGCCGCTCCCTCTACAGGTTCCCCTCGCGAGCGCCAGTAATTCCTCCGATTGCCCTACCAGGCGCGATGCCAGGGATGCAGGCCTTCTCCATCTTCAGCTGCCTGTTCCGGAGCTCGGAGACCTCTCGGAATGGCAAGCAGAACTCCACCAGGTCGCCGATCAAGCAGGTGGTCTTGCTTCTGCCGGATGCCCCTGGCGTCGGCGGTTGCAGTGACAACTCAGAGCCCACCGACATCTTCAAGCCGACCGTCATCGTCACCCTGTGACATGGCGTGGTGGTCTTCCTCCTCCTCCTCCTCCTCCTCTTCCTGCGTCCCTTCCTCCTCCTCCTCCTCCTCCTCCTCCTCCTCATCCTCCTCCTCCTCCTCCTCCTCCTCCTCCCAGACGGAGCGGGGGAACCGACGCTTCAGCAAGGTGGGGCGGGGCACATGGAGACCGTGCTGGCCTGCAGTTTTCATCGCGCGTTGCTGCTACCAGTACGCACGGCGTGTGTGGGCGTCTGCACCGCTGTCGACACAAGCAGCACGTGGCCTCGATCTGAACCAAAGGCCTGTACCGCCTCGGCGTGGTGGTGGCGACCCCGGCGCAGCGGTGGCGAACGGGCAACGCGTCCGTAGCCTAAGCTGACCACGGTTTCACAGCTGCGACGGACGCCCAGATTGCTGTCAATCAATACAGATCGCGGGCCTGACTTTTCCAGCGTGTCGTGCTTTTTCCTCGAGGTGCGGGGAGGAAGGAGAGGGGGGGGGAGGAGAAGTATGATCCCGAAGGGAAGGAAAGGGGGGCGGAAGGGGAAGCGCTCTAAACCATCCGCGGCCTTAAAGAAGGGCTGGTGGAATTAGGGCGGCTGTGCTCAGCCTCCACCCGTCGGAGCCAGAAGCACCGCCTCTTGGATTCGAGCTCGGGTTCCCGTTCTGTTGGCCAATGACAGACGTGTTGCCGAGTGCCTCTCCTTGAATGCGAGCACGGTTCTCGCATCATTGTTGTACCGTGTCCAAGGGGCCGACTCGGATTCTCGCGCTCTGCAGGGAACACGTTTTCTCCCATTATGTTTGTTTTTTTGTTCACTCTCTCTCTCCTCCTCCTCTCCACCTCCTTCTCCTCTTAATCTCCTTTGCTTCCTCTCGTTCTGCAAAGCGCTTGAAGACTGCCCACATGCAGGAACCAGAGCGCGCTCACAATGGAGTACAGTTAGTTATGGTTATATAGGATTTCGAAGAACCATGCTCTCTTTCCCTTGACCACGTGTTCTCCGCCGCGTTGGTTGCGCTGTGCGCTGCGGCAGTTGACCCAGCCCACAGGTATCCCGCATGATGGGGAACACAATGTTCAGGCGATCGTCTCTACACGTGATCGTATATTCCAGCTGTCGCTCATTTTTTCCCTCCGCGCTGGTTGCGCTGTGCGCTGCGGCAGTTGATCCAGCTCACAGGTATCCCGCATGATGGGAAACACCATGTTCAGGCGCTCGCAGTCGGCACGATGATCGCAAGTGCTGGCCTTCGAATGTATGTGCCTACGTTGCATTGCCTGTCGCCGGCTGGACAGAGGCCATTTGATGCAACTGATAATTCTGGAATCCAAGCTCCGGTTCCCGATCTGTCGGCCAATGACAGACGTGCGTCCGAGGGCCTCTTTTTGAATACGAGCACGGTTCTCGTTATTGTTATACCGTGTCCAAGAGGCCGACGTGGATTCTCTGCCTCTGCAGGAAAACAAAACAAAACCAAAAAAGAAGGGGAGCGCGAACCCAACAGCGGAGCCTTCCGCCCCAAGAGGCCCAGGAGAGGCTCACAGGAGGCCCCAAGAGGCCTCTAAGAGGTCCGAAGGGGCCCCACAAAGCACCCCAAGAGGCCCCAAAGGCCCCCAGGAAACGTACACGAGGCCCCGAGATTGCCCAACAGTGCCCTCGACGCAGGCCCCCGAGAGGCTTCCAGACTGCCTCAAGAGGCCCCCAAGAGGCCCCAAGAGGCCCCCAAGAGGCTCCCCAGAGGGCCCAAGAGGCTTCCAAGAAGCCTCCCACGAAGGCCCCAAGAGGTAAGAATCATTGCTTTCCGGTCGGTTTTGACGGGTTTTCGAGTTTTCAGTCTTTTGGCACTCCGACGTTCCAAGATGGCCCAGGAGGCACCCGAGACTGGTCCCAGATAGCCCAAGAGGTTTCCAAGAGAGGGCCCCAAGACGGCCCTCGAGGGCCCCAGACGTTGCCCGAGGCGCCCAAGACGGCTCGAAGGGGCCCAAGACGGCCCCGAGAGAGGCCCCAAGAGAGGCCCAAGAAGGGGAACGCGAACCTCCGTAGCCATTTTGGCTCAAGCCGCTCCGAGCGCCAGTTTCCCAATCCGAAATTACTAGAGCGCGATGCCAGGGATGCAGGCCTTCTCCATCTTCAGACCTGTTCCAGAGCTCGGAAGACCTCTCGGAAGTGGGCAAGTTCCAAGATGGCCCAGGAGGCTCCCAGATAGCCCAAGAGGTTTCCAAGAGAGGGCCCCAAGACGGCCCTCGAAGACGTTGCCCGAGGTCGGTCTTGGCTCAAGCCGCTCCCTCTACAGGTTCCCCTCGCGAGCGCCAGTAATTCCTCCGCCCTACTAGGCGCGATGCCAGGGATGCAGGCCTTCTCCATCTTCAGCTGCCTGTTCCAGAGCTCGGAGACCTCTCGGAATGGCAAGCAGAACTCCACCAGGTCGCCGATCAAGCAGGTGGTCTTGCTTCTGCCGGATGCCCCTGGCGTCGGCGGTTGCAGTGACAACTCAGAGCTTACCGACATCTTCAAGCCGACCGTCATCGTCACCCTGTGACATGGCGTGGTGGTCTTCCTCCTCCTCCTCCTCCTCCTTCCTGCGTCCCTTCCTCCTCCTCCTCCTCCTCCTCCTCCTCCTCCTCCTCCTCCTCCTCCTCCTCCTCCTCCCAGACGGAGCGGGGGAACCGACGCTTCAGCAGGGTGGGGCAGGGCACATGGAGACCGTGCTGGCCTGCAGTTTTCATCGCGCGTTGCTGCTACCAGTACGCACGGCGTGTGTGGGCGTCTGCACCGCTGTCGACACAAGCAGCACGTGGCCTCGATCTAAACCAAAGGCCTGTACCGCCTCGGCGTGGTGGTGGCGACCCCGGCGCAGCGGTGGCGAACGGGCAACGCGTCCGTAGCCTAAGCTGACCACGGTTTCACAGCTGCGACGGACGCCCAGATTGCTGTCAATCAATACAGATCGCGGGCCTGACTTTTCCAGCGTGTCGTGCTTTTTCCTCGAGGTGCGGGGAGGAAGGAGAGGGGGGGGGAGGAGAAGTATGATCCCGAAGGGAAGGAAAGGGGGGCGGAAGGGGAAGCGCTCTAAACCATCCGCGGCCTTAAAGAAGGGCTGGTGGAATTAGGGCGGCTGTGCTCAGCCTCCACCCGTCGGAGCCAGAAGCACCGCCTCTTGGATTCGAGCTCGGGTTCCCGTTCTGTTGGCCAATGACAGACGTGTTGCCGAGTGCCTCTCCTTGAATGCGAGCACGGTTCTCGCATCATTGTTGTACCGTGTCCAAGGGGCCGACTCGGATTCTCGCGCTCTGCAGGGAACACGTTTTCTCCAATTATGTTTGTTTTTTTGTTCACTTTCTCTCTCTCTCTCTCTCCCTCCTCTCCACCTCCTTCTCCTCTTAATCTCCTTTGCTTCCTCTCGTTCTGCAAAGCGCTTGAAGACTGCCCACATGCAGGAACCAGAGCGCGCTCACAATGGAGTACAGTTAGTTATGGTTATATAGGATTTCGAAGAACCATGCTCTCTTTCCCTTGACCACGTGTTCTCCGCCGCGTTGGTTGCGCTGTGCGCTGCGGCAGTTGACCCAGCCCACAGGTATCCCGCATGATGGGGAACACAATGTTCAGGCGATCGTCTGTACACGTGATCGTATATTCCAGCTGTCGCTCTGTTTTTCTCTCCGCGTTGGTTGCGCTGTGCGCTGCGGCAGTTGATCCAGCTCACAGGTATCCCGCATGATGGGAAACACCATGTTCAGGCGCTCGCAATCGGCACGATGATCGCAAGTGCTGGCCTTCGAATGTATGTGCCTACGTTGCATTGCCTGTCGCCGGCTGGCCAGAGGCCATTTGATGCAACTGTTAATTCTTGAATCCAAGCTCCGGTTCCCGATCTGTCGGCCAATGACAGACGTGCGTCCGAGGGCCTCTTTTTGAATACGAGCACGGTTCTCGTTATTGTTATACCATGTCCAAGAGGCCGACGTGGATTCTCTGCCTCTGCAGGAAAACAAAACAAAACAAAAAAAGAAGGGGAGCGCGAACCCAACAGCGGAGCCTTCCGCCCCAAGAGGCCCAGGAGAGGCTCACAGGAGGCCCCAAGAGGCCTCTGAGAGGTCCGAAGGGGCCCCACAGAGCATCCCAAGAGGCCCCAAAGGCCCCCAGGAAACTTGCACGAGGCCCCGAGATTCCCCAACAGTGCCCTCGACGCAGGCCCCCGAGAGGCTTGCAGACTGCCTCGACGTGGCCCCACTACGGAGACGGGGCCCTGGACCAGGGAGGGCCCTGAACTTGCCGAGTGGCTGTAGTCATCCCCCCCTGGAGGCACCAGAGGAGGAGGAGGAGGAGGAGGAGGAGGAGGAGGAGGAGGAGGAGGAGGAGGTGAGGAGGAGGAGGGAGGAGGGAGGAGGAGGGAGGAGGGAGGAGGGAGGAGGGAGGGAGGGAGGAGGGAGGAGGGAGGAGGGAGGAGGGAGGAGGGATTCTCCCTGGACCGCCCACGCTGGCTCGAGGACGCCCCCGGGGCGGCCCGAAAGCGGTCCGAGACGCCCCCGGGAGCGCTTCAGGGCGGCGTCAGATGGCACCAGGACGGCCCAAGAGGCTTCCACGACGCCTCCAGGGGGCCCCAGTGAGCCCCCAAGACGCCACCAGAAGGCCTTTTTTGGTTCCAGAGGTGGTTCCTATGATTTTCGCTCTCTCTCGCTCACCTGGTTGTCTCTGTGCGTCCTCATGGCCCACGGCCTCACTTCCTCAGTGAATCCTCGATTCCCCGGCACCTACTTCCATCTTCATGGTTTCACCGCGAATCCGATGATTGCGCTTGGCTAGTACCCAGGCGCGCGCGAAGCGCGCGTGGTTCTTGCGACTTGTTTGTTTATGTTTTTACGTATGTATTATGTTGAACATATGTATATATATACACACATGTGTACACACATATACAATTACATACATACACATAGTGTATACGTATGTATATAGCAAGTGCATGACACATCGATGCGTTTCGGGCACCCCTCGCCGACTCCGATGTTGGACCCAAGTGCTCCCCAGGCTGCCCCACGCGCAAACGCTTCCAGGCTCGCCGTCGCCACCAGCATCAACAGCGTCCACATTCTCATCGTCATAATCCTCGTCGCCGGAGGAGGCTTCACGGGGCGGATGAATTCAGATCCCGTTGGCGCCTGGACCACAGTATGTGTTCACAATGGGGCTCTCGGTTAGCTGGCGCCCTTCACTTCCTTTTTGCACATACACAACCAAGAACCGACAGAGGACGGGCCGTTTTCAATAATAGGGGGCTCTCGCCATGGCGCCGTGCATTCTCGGCTTCCGAGCTGTTTTTAGCTGCGCGAGTGGATGGCGAGTCCTTTTCCCGGACGATGGGGGCACTGGGCAATGAACGTTCAGATAAGGCACCCAGTGTCTGGAAGCCGGTGGGCGTCCAATCGTGGACCGGCCATTGCTATCACCGCCGCCCCCATCAGAGAAGGAATCGCCCAGGTTCT